AAAAAAAAAGTACTTTTTAATGTTTTTTGTATAATTATGTGTGTGCAATTTCTTTAGCGCAGCATACTGAACCCATGGATGATTAATATATCTTTTCTTGCCATGAGCTGAAACCACTGCAGTAACATTTTAAGTTGAGGAATCAGCCATTCGATGTCAAAGCAGCAGGAAACGGGCCATGCTCACGTCTCACACACAGCTCACATGTGCAGCAATCACCAGGCTTTTAAAGCAGTGAAGGGAGACGTTGTCATTGGGAGAGAAAATGAAAGAAGGAATGTGGACCGGCGAGTCCGAAAACTGAAGAAAAGCACTGATGAAGCAGAGACGACGACTCTTCACGGTTCTTCACTTGCACCTGCTAAGAGCTTCCTGCATTTTCTCCTGTACGTGCTCCATCTTCTCAGCCCACTCCTCGCTCAGGCCCTCCTCGTCGTCTCCGATGACGGCCGCGTACCCCATGAGGGCGATGAGCCCGATGCAGAACAGGTAGGTGAGGCGCGTGCACAGTCGCTCCATTGTCTGGCGATCGCCTTGGGAGTATTTCAAGTAGACCTCCAGGATGGGTCTACTGAACAGCTTGCGTTTCCCCACCACGCCGTCGTACAGTGTGTGCAGGTTCTGGTCACCCAGATCGTTGGCGTAACTCTCCTCAAAGTCGTCTTTCTTGCGCTCGCGGTGCTGCGGCCGCGCCTCCACCATCTCCATGAACTTTCTGAACTGGTGCTTCAGGTTCTCTTCAACCTGATTGTACTGGCCGTCCAGCGTTTCCTTCTTGATCTGCACAAGCGTGCTGCGGTTCAGCTGGGAGAGCTGGTCCAGCCCTCGGTTGACTGACGCAAACTCGCGCTTCAGAGTACGAATGTCTTCATCATCGATGTGGTGCAGCACCACCCGGATCAGGGAACCGGCAACACCAAAGATGGGGTTAACTACAGCAGCAGCTGAAGAGATGGTGGCCACACACTGAAGCACTTTGACCAGACCCTGCTTCAGCTTGGCCTTCTCCTCGATGATCTCCTCATCCATCATGGCTGAGGTGCAGGTGCTGAGGTCAGAGTCAAGAAGTGGGACGTGATCTGTGACAGTTAGAGATTAGATTACATGTTTGACCTCAGAGTTGGATTATTACAGTCTTTGAATTTACTGTGACATAAATATACTCTTGTGCTTTTGCTTTATATTTTCCCTGATCTGTAGTTGGTACATTCAATATTTTTCTTAAACAAAGATAAGAAAACACCATCTATTTTGTTGAGTTAACTAAAGAAGAGGGTTTCAAACCTCTCAGGGCCAGTGACCCTGGTTTGCTGTGGGCTTTGTGTCACTTGATAATGAGACTGACTACAATATGACTGACATGAGAGGAAGTTATCGACATAATGTGCTTGTTTTATTAGCACAAGTTTCTGGCTATGAGTCAGAGAGCCATGGATCTAAAAGGTGAACATGCAAAAAAAGGCAAACATAAGGAATTATGTTTTCATTATTCTGCTCATTTCCAACTTCAGTCTTATCCTTAGCCTGTACCAGAGCAGCTTTGCATGATCCACAGTTCTAAAGGGTTCGTGTTTATCTTGTGTAGCTCCCTCAGTTCACAGTCAGTCTATGTCCCCAACCAAAACCAACAGCCAGAGGGTGGTGCTTGTGTGGTTATCACCAAAGCTCCATACCTGAGTGGAGCAAGGATATCTGCTCTCACTGATATCCACTATGATGGATTTTTTTAAGTAGTTTTACTTTTAATAAAACAAACATATTTAGGCTCCCATATATGGCATTCATGTAAAATTTTATGAATATATTAATAAAGAAAAAAGCTTATTGTTTCAGTGAGGCAAAGACCAAATGTCCCGATCATGGTTGGTGATATTATGCTGGTTGACCCGTCAACAATTTGTAGTACACTAATTAAATATAATGCTGTATAAACACATTTAAGTGATGCTAAAGTGCAAAAGAATGCAGTGAAATATAATTTATGTCATAGAAGCCTAGTGTGGATCCTTCATTCATAATAATAATAATAATAATAATAATAATAATAATAAATGTCCCCTGGCTGTGATTCACCAGGCAAATTGGGTGTAGCAGAAGTCTAACGTCTCAGCTGTTTGATAGAAAAGCAGATGTAACAGCAGCATTTATTTACAGCTGCCGCTCGCTGTGCTGTGACAGCCACAGAAAATAAGCATTTCATGGCAGTTTCACAGAGTTTCCAACGTCACAGAGGACTGCTGTGTGTCCACAGTGACACAAAGGTGCTGCTGAAGCTTACATCAAATTTCCTTTCTTCAAGTTCACACTGGAACAATGAAAATATGGATGCTGGTCCTGATGAAGATGATTCCTGAAACAAAAGACAGAGAGACAGATTCAGACAGCACGCTTGGATCCAACAAAGACGTCTCATGTCACTGATTCTGAACCAGGAAGTAAACAGATTTTTGTCCCTCGCTGGCTACAGTTTTCAGCAGTGAAGGAGTTAACAGCTTCTCTCTCTTTCAGCTGCATTCAGCACCAGGCTGCTCTCTCTGTGTTTCTATGGCCCGAGCAGATAGCTCCTCAGAAGCAAACAGGACGCGCACCGAGACAGCCGGAGTAGCTTCAGGGCGGGACAGAGACGCTCTTCAGCCGCAGTACAGGAACAAAAACAAACATGGCACGGCCGACTGAGCTGACAAACCCGTTCATTGTGTAACAGCAGCTTCTCTGGAAGTGCTTTCAGTCTTCAGTTCAGAGGAAGATTGTGGAAGTTTAAAGTTTAAACTGACTACTGTGAAGAGCTGATGACGTCCAGTTGTTATTAACAGAACTATATGTGGGTGTTTTCTACAAAGACTGCACTCTCAGCCCTCTCATTTTCCTGCAATTGTCAGAAAAGACCTGTTGGGTGCCGTGGCGTCTCAAACTAATATAGCTAATCAGAAGGCTGAGCGAGTGGAAACAGGCCCCCACACTCACTGCACGGTCTCGTTCCTGTCTTTGTAAATCCCCGTGACCACCAGGGGGGGGCGGTAATATGCCCACAATAAAAACACCACCCATAGCAACCATCCTTCTGATTTCAGCACCACCACTGTGGACTAAAAGCACTGACGCTCACTTTTAACCCTTTAGCTTTAGGATAACTTTAAATGTTCAGTTTAAATGCTTGTAATCAACAAAAATAACAGGAAACGATTGACTAATCTAAGTACTTGTGAAACCTGCACTTAGAAAATCACGTTGAATGATTTTAGAGCTTCATAAGACTTTCTTAAATGTCATTTTTTCAGGAATTTACAATTTTTAAGTGGTTAGTTTTTTTCATTTTTTGGCTGAAATACATTTTTTCTGTCAGTAAATGTCCCTCCACTTTCTGTTTTCCTACCATGACGTTGATAAAAGGCCTATTCTGCTTCATTTTTGGTATCTGATGGCAATTAAATCCTCCTAAATTTGCACTGATGTCGTATTGTGTCTCCAACCTGTGTCCTTAATTTCACAGAAGGTGATCTGGAGGAGAAGATGCCCCATTTCACAACATAATACAACAAGCTACACGAGGCAATGAAGGTAATGAAAGGGTTAACTGCAGTTTTAAAGCTTTGATTATTTAATACTACAGCAAAATGTGAAGTCATATGTATAATCTGAGCTGTATTAATAACAAACTCAGTGAATTGTGCACCAATTAAAGAGCACGACTGCTGTGCTTCTATTAGCGGCATTAAATTAACCCTTTGTGTTAATGAAATTAATCTTATATTGACCTTTGACCTTTTCTTAGCAAGTGGTCTCCATCATTCTAAGATATTCGTAGTAATTTGAAGAAGAAACTCAATCATATTTAAGTATATAAGTTTAGGACAATTAATAAAACTCCTAATTAAATGTGAACAAAGTGGAGAAGCTAAAGCTCCTGAGGTTAAAGCCTTCTGAAAGGGTTAACCAATCAGTGCTGAGTGGCAGCGTGGCCCTTACAGCCAGCAGGCTGCACACTTCTCAGGAGCTGACAGAAAGCTGTGATTCAGTAGTTGTGACTCAGCTTCTGCATTAATGTGCGTCTGAGCAGAAACCAGCAAAGGAACAATTATAATAATTGTATTTATTTATTTATTTTTACTTTTAAAGAAACATTTGGCGACACCTTGTAACCAAAGCAGCTCTGTGACGTAATCAGGAAATGTCAGACGGCTCTCACCTGTTTCCAAGCAGAGGAGAGGCCATCTTGAATGTTTTCTATAACGTCACCAATGCTAGGCTAGCACAAATTTACACAATAAACTCCAATAATATTATTCCTAATGTACGCCACTTACATTTTCATTGCTTATTCTGATTATTTTTGTGCTACTTATTCGTGTTAAATGACAGGATACTTTCCCTTCACAGAGCTCAGCCCGTGTGGGGCTTTCCTCTGGGGAAGTGCTCCCTTGATGGCCAACACAGCCAAACAACTACTTTGATAAGGAACATACAACAATGAAGGGCCATCCGGAGTTCTCGTCCGTGTTTGTAAGTAGTTCTACGAGAATAACATCCTCTCCTAACAGCACAGGCCCGGCACACTGCCTTCTTGCCCCAGCTCTGGCTCCCCCTAGCAGTCCCTCCATATTTCCTTGTTACTGCACACCATAATGCCCTGACCCTCCCTGATCTATTATACAGTAAAAACACCAAAATACATCTTAAAACCTAAATTTCTCTGTCTAAAAAATAACTATAGAGGCTCTACTTGCCTTCCAGCCAACATTAGGCACCATTGGCCACATCAGAACAGAGGATTGCTTACCTTTCAGACAGTGGCTCTAACTATACCTCCCTCTCCAAAGTCCCAACCTCGACAGCCTCCTTCTTCTTCCCAGCAATCCCTGCAAAAAGGACACTTCCATGTCTGTAGCTCATGTAGGGGTGAACAAATTTGACAAAATCATTTCTAAAAAGCCCAGAAAGTCCCCCAAATCTAAAAATGGCCATTTGGGCCCTAAATAAACATGACCTCCAATATCCCATTATAAAATAATTTTAAAAATGGCATTAAAAGGTAAAGCCCCCTCCTCAGAAATATACTGTTCTACCCCTATGGTTTCAACTTATTTTGGTCCATCCAGTAGTCATACAGTTAATACTGAAGAGGGATTGTCCGGGAGTGCGCAACTGAACTCTTAGGAACTTGCTGCTGCTTTTCGTGCGTTTGCCAAGTCATGGAGCATCTCTGAGAGGCTACACAGACTCCATTGGTGGGATTAATTGGTAAAACGAACCCTTTTCTTATGGACTAGATCAAAAGAATCCGGAGAAAAATATTTTCACGTGAATAAAATCCAACAAAGCCAAAAGTGAGCCGCGAATCCAAATGGACATCTCCAAAAGTGCACAGGTGTATCCAAACGCTCAGGGAGCTCTCAAGAGGCCACAGGAGTATAAAAGAAAATTTTATCCAGCGTAAAAGGTAAATATAATCCTAAATATAACCAACATTTGCCAAATGTACATACAAATTAAAAGTTGCATTTTAAAAATGTCCAATTTAAAGTCTACTAAAAAAGTGAAGGGCATTCAGAAAGATGGTCCAAAATGCGCAATGGCACTGTCGACAATATTTTTTTAATCTAACTTATTTAAATACATAATTTATTGAAAAATACATTTGTTATTACTAACAGCACCGTAGAACATGTTTTTAAATTTAGATGAGCTGTCTGACCAACAAGGGCTATCTAGCAGACAAAAAGCCTGAGCTATAGGCGCTCCCATTCAGTGCGCCAAAGTAATCGTGTATAGTTATGATTTGGTCCTTCATGCGGCCTTAAATAAGAATAAATGGAAACCTTAGGCACAAAAAACGTGCAGCCAAATCCGGTGAATCCTTTGGTGTGAGGATCAGCCTGCTGCGCCGACGGTTGAAGCTGTTTCCCCCAAAATAAACCTCATGCAAATCCTGCTGCCAGCGACCAGCACGACATAGCGTTAAAGCACAGACTTGTTCCTCATTTAACCCGACTGTTCCTTGCGTCGCTTTTTAGAGCAGCACACAGCCACAGTTATGATGGGCGTTTGCCTCCCAGCATGTCCAGACCTGAGCAAGCCGCGAGTGGGTTAGAGACCCCGCATCCCCTCACTGAGACATCCAGCCTCAGGCAGCAGCAACACAAGAGAATCCCTGTCCTCCCCGCGCTGTGAAGTGGGAAAAATAGAGATAAAAGCCGACTGTTCACTAGAAACGACAAAGCTTTCAGTTATCTGCTGGGAAAACGGTCCGCATCGACGCTCAGGGCGTGCTGGTGGTACAGTAGCGCGTCTGTGAGCAAGTACAGCCTTTATTCAGCACCGCAGCTGCAGGCGGAACTGCAGCCGGACGCACGCCTGTCCTCAGTGAACACTTGCCACCGCAGCTGTCAATCGGCTCACATTTCAGACTGTGTGATGAATACACGCAGCCATATACTATACTCTAGTAACCGCATTTGTGCAAGATCAGCTGTGCGTAATATTTACGCTCCGCGGTGACAAACCTCTGTTGCAAGACCTTGTTTTGGTTTTTGTTAGCTGGGGGGCAGGAGGAGCGCCTTGCTGACACGTTGAAAGCCACAATATTGAAGCCCCGGGGCAGAGGCTCGACTACAGAACACCGAAATATATTCATGCACAGTGTCACCATTCTTATGTTCTAGATTAAACAAGCTGCTTTACTGCAGCTCTGTGCTGTAAACTTTGGGACACCAGACAGATATTGTTTGCGGATGTGTTTAATATTCTAGAATAAATAAATACAAACAAATGGAAACGTTGTCACTTTGTTTTATTGTACACATTTACTGCAAAATGAGAAATGTAACATTTCTGTGTTCACCCTGTCTGCCTGCTTCAAATACTGAAGTGTAACCCAGAAACTGCTGAGAGTTCATCTCAACGGGAAAAGGGGAGGGACGGTTTTTGTAATCGTGTTTTTAATATTTGACAAAGTCCAAAAATACACTTTAAAGTTTACCAGCATTGTCTGAACTAATAATTCTTTACCCGACACTGAAATCAAAGATGTTGAGCTAAAATTGTAGCCACAATTGATGCACTCACACTGTAGTTACAGATGTTACACTCCAGGGGCGCTGTTCTGCCATGTTAGTTAGTGCCATGGATTTATGCATATTGCCTCATGATACATTTATTCAGGCTCTTTTCCAGTAAGAGTTTCGTACATGCAAATATTGCTGACATGAAGGGAGACAGATCAGAATGTAGAGTTGATCTCATGAAGGTTAACTTCAATAACAGTCTGAGACTGCATGACTCCACCAAAAATTCCTGGATGCAGAAGGATGACGGGAGCCGGATTAATTTATAAATTTTAAAGAACATCAAGACAATTTCTTCCAATATTTCTTTGTTTGATATATTTTTGAAATGTGTGATATGTGAAGGTCCGATGTTGCTAGTACTAGGATTCTGATGAATCCTGCTGCCTAACACATCATCAAGAGGTCATGAACTGAGGAAATGCACGGCTGACTCATTTGAAACACCAGGTTCATGTTATTCAGACCTGAGACAATTCCCATCATTAATTCAAAGCCACCAAAACACAAACAGTCAGATTTCATTATTCTTCACACCGCGGTAAAAGGGACCCTCCAATCTGCTGAACAGAAACATCTAAAATGTAAAACTGCTGTCTATCAGCTGCACATTATTCCTCCAGTGTTCATGTGAGGTCCTTCCCTGTTGGGTGCCTGCGTGTCTCCAGATGGGTTTATGTTCTCCAGCAGGTTTCTGTACTGTGTCGTCTCCGTCTGGTGCCGAGCGATTTTTCTAGCGTAGTACCTCCTGGATGCGGCTCTCCAAGCTTCCCTTTGCAGCGTCTGAGACTCTTCGGGTAGCTCCGATATCAGTGTCCTCCTCCTCTTATCCACAAAAGAGCTGGGCTGTGAATACTGAGAGTTTGCGATGTGGGGGAAGGGGCTGGATCGTGATGGGTTTGCCTGCTGGCGAGCTATCTTTCGAGCATAATATCGTCTGGAAGCTGCTCTCCAGGCTGCCCTCTTCAGTCTCTGAGCTTCCTCTGGCAGGTCCGACATTGGCACGCTCTTCTTCTTGTTCCTGAGGAGGTAAAAGATTTTACACCAAAATTATTTCTGTTAGACTCTTCTAAACTAATAGATATTATAAATTAATCAACTGAAAAACACCCTGGGAATTCTTGTGCTCTGCGTTTACTTGGTTAGCCTCCAAGCTGTAGTCCTGTATCAGTGTCTCAAGGAATTACCTTTAAACATTTTTTAAAATTGAAAGCCAAAAAAAGAAAAAAGATACGAGGCACGGACTTCGGTTAAGTAGGGTAACACAGACTCATAGCCCGCAGAGAAACTGTGCTTACGTGCGTAATCATCCCACTAAGTCCCGTTTTGAGACAGGAAACACACTGTATGTGTTAAGTTCCTGCACCGCTGAGGTTGCCCTATATTCCCCCAGTTCTCGCTCTCTTACTCATTTGTTCTCTGTTGTGGTAGAATAACATTTAAGTTGTCGTCAGAGGGTCCACAGATGATCTAATGCACCATATCTCTTCAAATAAAGTTGGTCAGAGGGTGCATAACACGTTCCTGGAAGTATCGCAATAAAAGCCTAATAGAGAAGTAAAAGGTTGTCTCCAGTAAATCCTTACAGAGATGTTCATTTGAAACAGATATAAGAAACGTGGAATAATAATAATAATAATGAGTTCCTAAGTTCAACAAAATGAGAGGATACTAAATTATAATCAATTGCATCAAAGGTGCCCAACTCTCACAACCACCTTTACAGCCTTGACAGCCTTACTTTCAGTAACAGATGAGTTTAAAGGTGATGGCTGCACGCTGCTGTTGTAGAGAACTTCAGTCTGCACTCCCACAGTGACGATGAATCAATAATCTGCTGCTTTTCTTTCTTTTATTCAACTGAATCTTTTGCATTTTGACTGCTAGTTAGACAAAAACAAGCACTTTGGTTTCAACACTATAGAGAAAAATACAACAAATCATCAAGTCCCCGAGTAAATAATTATTATGTTTCTGTATTAGCATCCCCTCTGAGGCGTCGCTGGATTATCAGTTATCATTATCATTATAGCTCACCTCATGTGCTCTGCCTCAGTCATTGCAGCTCCGCCCGGGTCTGCCTGTGGTTTCTCCCTGAACGTCCTTCCTTCTCCGGTCTCCATTTTTTCTACATGGATCATTAGAGATGAACATATTTTTAGTCGTACCACTCCAATGTTGATATTATTTTTACTATGACTGTATTTAATTACAGTGTTTTTTTCCTTTGGCTGTATTTATTTTCAAGCTTCTCTGTTGCTAGATTCCAAAATCAGACTTCCATGTTAGATCTTCAGTGTTTGATGGGTCAGTTAGAAAACAGTGATACTGACGAGTTTAGCATTGTTAAACCAGACGAGTCATTTTCCCCCAACGGCACCATGTGACAGGACCGGGTGGAAAAAATGCCCTATATTTATATAATATTTCTCATTTGTGCAAACAGCAAAACAAAGAGAAGTAGAGGATTTGCTTTTCCAGTGCTGAGAATATTAATGTGAATAAATTAAATGCAGAGTGCATTACTTTTTACACTGAGACTCTCTTTGTCCTGACACGGACTGCCCGTGCTCTGCTGATGTTCATTCATCTCCCACTTGATTAAGACCGTGTCGACGTCACATGGCTCTTGTTTGACCACGAGGCTGCTGGGAGATGTCGGCATATTTCTGGCTGACTCTGTTACACCCGAAACCTCGGAGGAGCGGGAGGTGCAGCTGTGCTCCAGGACCATTCTGCTGGGGGAAGATGGAAGAGCTGACTCCTGGCTGTGGGAGGAAACGTGTGAGGGGGGTCTTGTGAAAAAACCCACTGTAAAGAAAGGAAACAAACAAAGGCTTATTTTGTGTGTTATATTTCCATAATATCCACAGTCACATGTACTCAAGTCGTTCAAACACTGTGTTTTCTAGATGCAACCAATCAAAAGGCAGTACTCCTTAAAGAGGGAGGAGCTACAACAGCTTCTTTTACACAGAAGATGAACTGGGGGGCTTATAACACAACTATGGATTCATGTAAATTATGAAACATGCAACTCAGTATGAGTAGAGTTTAGCATTAAAAACAAGAGCTTGAAATGACAATAACAGGCACCTTTTCCCTGATATACTCCAAAAGACTTCTATAGAAAATCACTCAATTTTCTGATATTCGTAAATCATTACTCACTACAATGGATTTTCATGTTCTATATATATTTTAAAAAAATCTCAGGGCTCAGTGAGAAATGGTTTTACTCAAAACTGTGAAGTGAAATAATACTTCAGGAGACGAGGTGGAGGAGGACCAGACATGAGAGCGAGAAGATGAGAGCTGAGAGGAGGACATGCCTTTGAGGAGCCTGAAAAGGGCAAAATGTGTAAGCTAGGGCTCTGAAATTGTCAGAGAGGACACCAGTCTGTGAAGGGAATCATCTTTCCATGGCAGTCTTGTTGATGAGCACCTCCCACTTGTTTGTGTGCTCTGATTTTTTGTTTTTTCCTTTTCTCAAACCCGGTTGCCTAGTTTCAGTTTATAACCACTTGTTTGGTAGTTGTGGCCGCTGGTAGTTTTTTTCAGGTGTCATATTAAAAACAATTTCAACCCATTTTCAGTATGGTATTAATGCTACCTTCAGAAATGAGAAATTTCAGAAATTTTTTTCTTCTAAAACCTGGTTGGTGGCCGTGGCTAGCATTGCCCTGTTTTTCAGTTTCATGCTAACAACATATCATATTCAGCCTACTGCAAGAGAAGATTGCGAAGGTGAAGAGAGGCAGGAGTGCACCACATACCATCCAGAGTAGATTAATTTTTTTAATTGATTTATCTGCACAGCATGCACTAGCTGCTCTTTTCTAGCCTGCCCTGACAAATGAAGTGCAGGGGTAAAAGGACATGGCCATTGGCCTTTGGGAAGATCAGTTTTCTTTTTCTTCATTTTAATATTCTCATCTACTTTCCTTCATGGAGCAATTCCAACAAAACCTCTCTCGGTTCAAATCCCAATCAGACAGTCGGGATTGGAAGCGTTTCGGGGTCAATGATCCCGAAGACTTTACAGGCAATTATGAATTGTCAAAGACATTACTTCTCATCTTCTTGTGAACTAGTGGCCTGTAGTGGGTCTAACAAAGGAATGACTCAAGGCAACAGCTGACCGGCTGTAATTTGTCACCAGCCTAAACCTGCAAAGCCAGAAGTGACGCTCGTGTTTACTTACACGATAAACTCGTCTCACAGTCCTGCTGCTCCGCTGTCAGCTCGGTGTCAACGCATCCCGGATCACAGTCGCTCTGATCTCCCTTCTGCCGGTCACCGGAGCTCCGGGACCTGCCGAGGCTGTGCTCGTTCTTGAACAGCCCGCAAGTGCATCCCTGCCGGCGCAGCACCTGCAGTTCGTGCTCCATCTCTGTCAGTCTGCACTCCAGGCGCTGGATCTCTTTGTCCCTGTCGGCCACCATCCGCTCATACTCGTAATTCTTGGAGCTGTTTACGCCGTACAAAACGTTTATCACAGAGTCTATGGCCAGCCGGATGGCGTTTTCCACCACCAGAGCCTCGTCGTCGCGGAGATGTGGGTGCAAAGTTCTGTTTTTGACCAAATCCATGTTTCCTTTAACTGACTTGTACTGACAGGCTGTGCTAGAGGGCGATGCTAGCGTTAAATGTGAGGATGCGCTGGCTCACTGAAGCGATAAGCCGCGCGCATGCGCCCTCCAAAAAACAACAATTAACACACCAATTAAAGCTTTTTTTTAGTGATTAAAAATATAAAATGATAGTGTTACATTCTTAATGTCACTGATGCCGTGTCTATTACCGCTAGCTGAACAACAGAAGCAGCAGGGGCATCATTATCTTCTTCGCCTACAAGTGGCGGTCAATAAATATTGACTTGACGGTGATAGCACCGACTACTGGTCATTTGACTAACTACACTAACAGTTACTATTAGCAATGGTATGACATTACTGCAAATAAAGTTGTTTTTCTTTAACCTAGAGATTTATCTGACAGACTTTTTTTTTCAATTCATAGTTAAGGAAATAACTCAATCCAAAACTCACAGGTTATCAACATTTTCAGCACTATTTGGTTTATTTTGGGGATAAAACTATGTCCCAATCCTTTTGAATTAGCATAATTTCATCACCCATACTACAGTCAAGTTTTTTAAATTTTTTAGCAATCTTTAAAATATTTCTGAAGTAAAATCATCCAGATCAGTTTGTTGTTTGTTGTTTAATTGCAAAGGAGCAAAAGAGAATGGATGGATCTTTTTTTTCTACTTATTCTTAATCTATATATTTTCTTTTCTAAAAAGAAAATAAGTTGTTTTAATTCTTCTTGTAAATCACTTTAAATTATTGTTGTGTTTGAATCGAGCTATATAAATTAATGTACCTTGCTTTGCCAATAATTGCTTCAGAGGCCTCGCTTGTTTTTGGCTTCATTTGGCCAAACTATTCTGCAATGATCCATGCACTCTGAAATCATAAGTATTTGTGAATTTCTTGATGCATTCTCAATCATCCAGGAAAGTAAACCCCCAAAAGTTGATTCTGTTCATCTGGACGTAGCGTTTTGTCATCCAAGTGACTTCTTCAGTCTCAGCTGACTGCAGGTTTGCCCAATCTTATAAACAGTACATTTGCATAATGACTGAAACCAGCCCACTGAAGGAACAATGGGCTGGGAGGTCAGTTCCTTAATCTTAATTATGCAAATTCTCATGACCATTGATCAACAACCACTGACCAAAGCCCACTGATCAAAGACCACTGATCAATGGCCATGAGTATCATTCACAGAGAGTTGGGGAATGGCTGCAATCACAGCATTGTAAGATGGCGAAAGATGTACCCTTAGGCCCCCTCCTCGATTCAGAGATGGTCTTTCCCTTTTCACGTAAATGGCCTCCTTGACTCCACGCTCAAACCAGCGTTCCTTCCTGTCCAGGATGTGTACGTCCTCATCACTGGCGTAAATAGACTGCAGAGTCCTGGCCTGACGAGGTTGCTCTTCTGTGTTGTGCCATCCGCTTCGCCAGAGGTTGTTTGGTTTCCCCGATGTATAAGTCCTGGAAATCCTCCTGGCACATTTGTGAATTTATAAAAAAATAAAAAATAAAACTTCATTCATTTTACCATGACGTGAAACTCTTGAGATCTCTTCTGAGTGTCCTGGGTAGCAGCAATCTATGACATTTTCCGATGATGGATGAAGCCAAATCTCCCAGACAAAATCTGCACAAGCATGAGCGAACGTGCAAAGCTCTGTGAGCCAGCATCGTGCTATACTGATGCTTTTCAGTGGCTGGGACAAGCAGACTCCTCAGAGCTGAAACTTGCTGTCCAATGTGAGGGAGCTTCAAAGCTTCTACCTGGAAACTCTACAAGTGTGGGGTGAATTAATTTTCATTTTTAATTTGATAATATGGGCTTAATGGATGTAGACTGACTGGCACTTGGATCATTTTAAAAGAAGACAGTGTGTAAGATTTAGGATTCTATTAGCAGAAATGGAATATAGTGATAATAATTCTGCAGTATTTTCAATTATGTCAGCTGTCACATTAAACATAATTGAAAATACTGGTGAGCTTCTTTTTGTTGTAAGCTGATAATGAGCCTTTCATATCTGCATAGTGAGCAGAATCTCTCCCATCGAGAACACCAGGATGGCACTAGTGGAAACTTATAAACAGTCACCAGGTAATCTACCACATGCTTGGGTTGTTGTAATTCACGAATCCACCGCTGGATGTCACTAGTTTCCACACAGTGCACATTTGAAACCAAGTGCAAAAGTAGAAGTCGATTTTATGAAGAAAATATAAGCAACTAGCAAATAATGTAGAAAAATTAACAACAAAGATGTAATTTTATTGATATCACCACTTTAGTGCGTTTCGTGGCTGGGACTGACATGCACACACATGACATAAACAGACAGCATCCTTAAACGTCCCAAACAATAAATGTTTTAATAGTGATGACTACAAGATCTACCTGCATGAAATTAATAATCTTTAGAGTAAAATGAATAAATATGATTATAGGAAATGGCATTATAAACTGATGCTGAGATATGATTAAAATGCATAGTAGTGTAATGCATGATGAACTCGAATAAACTACAATGGCTATAACAGTAAAAGTGCAAGCATTTTTTAAATAATATTTTAAAAAGTAACTGTGTTTGTGTTTCTGGTTGTGTCCATTAGGTCCTAACTTACATGTAGCATCACATGACAGGTAAACACGACATGATGAATCCAGCCTTGTGAGCATTCATTGGAGGGATAGTATTTTTCTTTTCATCTCATGCTGTAGATGTAAGAGTTAAAATAACATGTGCTGCAGATGCATTTTGTGCTACTCTACACAGTAGTTCCCCATGCTGGTCGCTTCCTTTCCCTTTTCCTGTCTTCTTTTTCTTCCTCCATCTCGGTTTCCTGCCAGCTGCAGCCATCGCTTTATATACCTCTCTATCTCCTCGTCCACGGCATCCTTACAGAACGAGTTCTTCCTGACTGCGTCTGCAGGGGTAAAAGTGAACACATGAAAGTAAGTAAATGCTTTAACTGTTTAAAATACACCATATTTTCTTATGTGTCCTGTAGAAGCACACTCACTGAGGATAACTCTCTTGATGGTGAGGTTCTCTACTTTGTGCTTGTTATTTCTTCCCCTCCAGTTGATGTTTTTGGCCAAAGCGTTAGTAAAAAGCTTTGTCATTGTCCTCCACACACTGTGTTTGTTGGACAAACCTCCGGACAGGTCGAAGTAAGAGATCTGCACAGAAAGAATGACGTGCACATTAACTCATTAGTATATACATTTGCAGAAGTACATAAACCGCTAAACTGTTATTACAATTAAAGAGAAATGTTTATTGGTAAAAA